GATATAAATGAACAATAATAAAATTAAATTAAACAAAAAATATTTATTTATTTTAAAATAAAAAATAATAATTAATTTAAAATAAATCTAAAATTAAAAATAACAATTATTTTGACTGTAAACAAGAACAGCCAATAATTTTGAATTTTTTTAAACAAATACAAACTTAAGAAAAAATAATTTGAATTTAATACTTAAAATTAAAAACACACATTTTTTAAGGTTTATAATTAATTATTTATTTTTAAACAAATATAATTTAGGGATGAAAAACAAAAAGTTGTAGTATAACACTATAACCTGATAATTTAACTCTTAATAATTATTAAAGTATTAAATACATTAATCAAATAGTTCATAAAACTTGCTGCATAGCTTCAGCTCAAAAAAAAGTACTTGGCCCTTGGGTCAAGTGACTCTTGCTCCTGATGCAGTTTGCACTCCTTTGAGATGGATTCAAGCCCCTGTTAAATAAATAAATAAAAAACTTGCTGCATGGCCAATTGGCTTTTGTAGGGTTGGTGTAGCCAATAATTTTGATTAGACAAAGTTTGACTGCAAGAACCCCATCGCCTTCTCTTTCATTATTTTTCCGTTGAGAAACAGTGCAATTTGGTACCTGAACAGTAGTGCAATTGTTAAACGCAAACCGAAGTGATGGTTACGGCAACGTAATAAATGATTAGAGCGACGTAAATATTAATATTTTATATTTAAAAATATTAATATATAAAAATTAATTATAATTTATTAAATAATAAATACTAATTATTTTATTTATATTTATTTATAATAAAATTATTTTAATTTTTAAATATAAATTTTACATAAAAATTTAATCATTTATACAAGTAAGAGGAATGCCAGAGGCACTCGCCTCCTGCACTCTCCTGCGAACACTTTCACTTTTACTGGGCCACGTTATTCTCGTTTTTGGAGGAACTTGGACTGCAAAGCCTGAAACAAGCTAACGTGACCCACTGGAAAGGGCAGTGTTGGCCAGAGAGTGCCCTTAGCACTGCTCTATAAGTAATAATTCAAAAAAAATTTCTTCACATAAAATTTTTATTAAATTAATAATTTATTAATTTGAATAGAAAAAATTTAATTTTTTTAAATAAAATTTTAAATTTAAATTTTATAAATAAAGAAATAAGTATTAAAATATTTTTTATAAGATCTGATATAATTTAATTTTAAATTAATTGAAATTTAATATTTTTTTATATTAAGATTTTTATTAAATATATTTACTTGATTAAAAAAATTTAATTATTATTTATATAATATATTAAAATTTTTTTAAAAATTACATTTAAAAAATTAAAAAATTAAATTAAAATTATTAAAAATATCATTTATCTATTAATAATAAAATATGATTATTATTTACTTTTTTTTTAATATTTTAACATGAAACGAATTCAAAATTTATCCAGAAAAAATAAAATACACATATTCAATGATTAAAGTTATTAGATCTGTAGGACTAAGTGCAATTATTATTTACTTTTAATAATTAAATCAAATAAAATTATTATTTTAAAATACCATATTAAAAGTTTATGCAATCTCGACATTTTCGCATGTGTAACAACAGGCCGACAATGCGAGCTCATGCTTTTATTTCTCAAAGTTACACCATAACAACCAACCACAAAAACAAGGATTTTTTTTATTTTTTATTGGGGGTCAAGTCAAGCTACAATATGATTGGAGGACTCATGTCCCGTGAACGCCATTTTGGAGGAATCGAGAACTTTGACTACCAATAAATTATAAATGTACCCAACAACCC